GACCCCTTGTCTAGCCATCAGGAAAAAACTTATGCATGACCCAAACGTTCATGTGCCTTGAGTACACGTTCAAAGACATTAAACCTGCATAAGTCACCGATTGAACCATTTTTAATAGATCTCCCTGAGAAAACCCCACTCAGCCACAGCCACAGCCACAGCACAGAGAAAAAACTTGCTCTGTGTGTGCAAACTAAAAAAAAAAAAAGAAGAAGAAGAAGAAGAAGAAGAAGAAGAAGAAGAAGAAGAAGAAGAAGAAGAAGAAAGACCAGCTAACTGATTTGTCAAGGTCGAGGCTTCCTTGTTTCAATCGCCAATCAGTAGCAAGCTTGGTGAGTGAGCACCCTCACTGGTGAGTCCCAGGGCTGGGCAAAGTGCGGAAGCAGAGAGCTTCTTCATTTCTTAATAGGTCCCCAGTCACCCGGCTGCCTCTAACCGCTCTTCCAAGTTAATCTGATCCCCCTTCAACAGTTTAGCCCCTTTCCTGGACCAGCCCAACCCATGGAAAAGCTTCCAGGGATTCCTGGTCCCTCCTCAGAGCATTCAGGGCTGGCGGCCTTCCAGGTGACTCCACAGCGGCCTGCACTTTCTAACAAAAGGAAGGCTGCCTACAGGAGTTGGTGACCAGGTGTGGCACGAAGTTAGTGAACCAGAAAGAAGGGATTTATCAGTCATTTAAAAAGAAGGAAGGGGGGATGGGGGAGAAAGAAAAGAAATCAACCAACAAGCGGGAATGACACCTAAGCCTCCTTCTATCAATCTGAAATATGCTTTGGAGTGAAAAACCTTTCAAAGAAAAAAAACACGATGGTCAGATTTCAGTGGCAGAAAAATGTGCAAAGCTGAAAAGTTTGGCTTTTCTGTGGGGGGTGGGGAGGCAGAGGTGTGGTTTGGGGGTGGGGAGGTCTCTAGGAGCTCTCTCTAGCAAGACAGCAGGATGAGATTTCAATGGTGTTTTGCTCTCTGGGTTTTTTCTTTAACCATATCCTTCTTTCATCTCTAAGATGACTCGGAAAGGCCTCGTGATTCTTGGAAAGTCATTGAATTTATTTCTATAATTGAGTTATTTTTAAGCTAACAGTCAGTATATGATTTTTAAGAATCTCACATACTAATGCATTTTCTATTTTTGTGAAATTTAGTGAGAAAGTAGATAGTCTTAGTAGATACTCTCCAGAGTCTTTGTGTGCGCCTGGATACTAACTTTGTGTTCAATACAAATCAATGGAACTAGTGCACTTTAGGGTACTCGTTCCCTAAGGAGTCACTAATGGAATTATCTGTAGCCCTTAAAAAAAAAGTCACAATGAGGCTAATGAAAATTTTTGCTAAGTGAAATCTGGATAAGGCACTGGGCTTACTTACTAGCACATTTTATTTATGGCATTTATCATACATGGCACATTTTACACACAAGTTTTACAAATCTCAGAATGTTTTTAAGAGCTATTTAAATTTCTAAAAGACTTTGTAATTTCAGGTTAAATTGTTTATACCAATAAAGAAGTATACTCTATATCCTCAACTTCAGAATCATTCTGAGATGACATTAAAACTTAGAAAAATTTTTAATATCAGATACAGATGAAAAACTTAACAGTCTTTGAATTGGAAATAACTTGTGGGGGTTTTCATTAAAGTTGGGTGCAGCTTGCTGCATTTTGGTTAGTTGGATGTCTTCAGCAATTTTTCAAATGTTTTGGGTTTGGCAAAGTCCAAAATGTTTTTGCCAAGACCCTCTTTTCCCCTTATTTTTTAAACCCGTGTGAAATTCAAGGATAACTTAATCCATATGTGTCTGATTCATTTACACTTAACTCATCAAAATGTTATTTTGTAAGACCCATTTAATATCCAAAAAACCTTTTGAGCCTTTTTAAGACAAGTCTTTTGTCTTTGAACCAGTGAGTTGTCTTTTTCCATATGAATGGAGCCTTGGACCTTGAAAGATGGAAGATCAGTTGATTTTCAACTTAGACTCTTCAAATTTTAAGTAGAATCAAAACTTGATATTCTGTTTACTGCTTGAGCATTGAATAAGGTCATTTTAAAATATAGATCAGAGGAAGTGGAAAAAATTTTATGCCATGTAATTTGGGAAAAGACTGCTTTGGGAAATTTTATCTTAGCAAACTAAAGAAATAAAAATTACTCCTAGTTTTATTTATTTATTTATTTATTTATTTATTTATTTATTTTTATTTTTATTTTTTTTTTTAGTTCATAGCTAAATGGCTCCGTTTTATGTATAGTGATGTGTTTTCCAAGAGTGGCCTGTGGATCATCAGTATGGTGGGGTGATTTCATTCTTTTAGTGTTAAATTGTTCTTACAGTCAACTCATTAATTGTTCGTTTTTATAACAACATCTATGGTGTTTATAAGACATCCCAAGATCAGGGGAGTTGACAATTGGCAGGAGTCGTAAGTTAAGAGATTTCTGAAAAATTGGGGCCCATATGTTTTTAAAATTCTGTGTGATTTGAAAGAATGTGGTAGAATTCTGAATCTGGCAAGAGATAGCGCTATGGATCAAAAAACATTGTTTAAGAACAAAAATTCGGAGAAGCTAAATGGAACCCCAAGTGAATAAAAGCAGAATGTCTCCGACCCTTTGTAAGAGGAACTAGTTGAAGACTTTCCGAGGCTTCTATTTGTATTTGTTTAGTAGAACTGGGCACAGAAAGGCCATGGCCATAAGTGCTCGTGAACATCCAGTCCATGCCATGGTAACTCGTTGAAAATGTAATACCCGAGTGGCATTTCCAAGTTCAGCGCTCCTATAAAGACCTGCTAGCACACAGAATGCTTTTTTTAATGTTCTGTATTGTTGTGGGTCCCCCACTGAACAACCTTTTGAGCGGACCCCGTTTTTCCTAATGTAAACATTCTGACGAGTATCCAAAGAAATGACCTTTGAGTGAACCTCTAACCTTCCCCGTAATTATTTGTTTGAAGACAGTGTGGAGTTCTCCTGCTGAGAACTAAGAACCATGATGCCTTGCAGCTCTGTGAGGAAGGGAGTGTTTGGGGGAACTGGAGAGAAAGACATAAATAAGGGAACCACCTCCAGATGTAAATAATAAAAGAGCAAAAGGGTGAAATTAAAAAGGGAAAAAACAGCAATTCGTCTTACCTAAAGAGTTGTCCTACGGGAAGAAACAAAACCAGGTTTGTAGAACGTAAAGAAGAGGTGAAACACCTCTGCCACGTGTGTCCTATGTTAGAAACGTCATGGAGGAGAGAGGAGGTTTCCCTCCGGGCTGTCCTGAGCATCTCAGTTGGTCTGAACCTGAGCTGATAAAGAGAGCTTGGGGGGGGGGGGTGGAAGAACTGCGGGTCAGGCCTCCTTGGTCTCAGTAAAAACAGTGAGGAAAGAGTAGATACTTAAGTCCCATTTTTGATCTAAGAGATGCTTCTGGAACACTTTGTGATCTGGTCAGTCCTCAGTACCACTTCAGCGCCAGGTGGGAATGAACAGGCCGTTCCCCACTCGGTTGCCTGTCCCCCCACCCCCAGCTGAGGGGGTGTAGCATTTTTGACAACCCAGCTATACTTGCCTAAGTAATAAAGAAGTGCATTGTTTTGCAAACAAACACCATATGCAAAAGACTCCTTTGGTTTTCTTGCAGCTATTATTCTTCGGCCTAATTGTATTCCCACTAGAGCGCTCACCGGAGGCCTGAACAAGTGTGGGCTGCTGTCCTCCTGGGAAGGGACTTCAGCTCCTTAGGAACGCAGAGCTGCCGACACACACTAGAATTTTTCTGGCTAATTTCAGAGAATGGGTTTTCAGTTCCTGCCTGTGGCCCCATGCAGACTCATTAATCATTAAGTCCCCCTGCACTTAAGATTGGAAACTGGAAATACTGGGAAATGTTCTAAGTGGGTATATTTTTAAGGAACTGCTAGCTATAGTCTAGGCATCCTGCCCTCCCTCTGTGTCCACCCACCCGCCCCCCACCACCGCCAAAATGCACAGCCAATGAATCCTGTGCATCAGCTCAAATGCACGGGCAATGCACGCCATTAAATGTACAGGAACAAGGGTAACTCGCAAATGGTAGAAAATTGTTTTGTTTTTATTAAATTTGGAGAAATAAAGGAGATTTCTTATCATCTTACTCTGTTTGTACATGAATATTTGATGGGCATTATTAAACATTAAAGTAACATGAAGTAGGCACTTATTTTTGGATTTCCAACAAAATTAGATCCAGGCTTCTAGACGAAATAAACTGCTTCTCCTTTACATTCCTGTGATTCAGCCACCACCTGATTTGAAAACTGTTTTTTGGGCTCTAATATCAACCATGTGTACCTGAGGCTCTGCCTTTCTAGTGGGTTGAAAGGTGGCTGGGTTTATGGTTGGCAGTTACCTTATCCCTGCCCTGGGTGTCCCCGCTTAGGCTGGAAAGGCCGCCCCCAACTGGCACTGACCTCTAAATGACCCCTAACTTTACAGGCTTAAACTGCAGGAGTTGCCGAAGAGCAGAAGTCTTTCTGGCCAGCACTTATTACTGCTGTGTTGGTGATAAAACTTCAGACAGCCTAATTGATGGCTTTGCTGACCTAACAATACCTTGTGAAAGCAGAGTGCCAGAGCCTGGTCTCCATTTATGACCAGCTGCAAGGGGAAGCTAGGTCTCCCTGTGATGGGGAGTTTAGGGAAAGGGGGGAAAAATCTTCCAGTCTGTGAACTTTAACCAGTCTCCAACTTATTCAAGAAGCAGAAGCACGATTGCAAAATTAATGGACGTTTTCTCAGGGAAAACTTTTCTTCCCCCCTCCCTGAACCCGCGTGGCAAGTCAACCTAGAGTGGGCGATAAGGTGATGGAAATGATCCAGTGAACACTGAAGAGGGAAAAATCGCCTGTGGATTAGAAAGATAATTTTCGGTAGGCGTCTGACCGTGTGGTATGCTCCTCAGCGTTCCTGCAAAGGTGCTTGCAGGGCCCGGAAACTGCATTGGGTGATTGGCCTTCTCTGTTCTGTTTCAGGTTTATTAATGCCAGAAGAAGAATAGTACAGCCCATGATTGACCAGTCAAATCGAGCAGGCAAGTTCCAACCAGTATCTACATTCATGTCCCATAGGCACAAATCCTCATCAAGTCATACTCTAGGAGTTTCATCACCTGGTAAATAAGTGCTTCCATCAGGCATCCTGGGAATTTTTTTTTTTTTAATGTCCCCAGAATTCCATTCTAGGAAGCAACTTCACTAATTGGTGCTAATTGGAGATTTCCCACCCTGACTCTACTGAAACCGCTTTTTATTTTCCTTCTGAATTGGTAATTGGGCACAAGTATTAGTGCCACAAGCAGTTTGTTTGACTGTGAGCTCTGGAATTACTCATTGCTTGTCTGCATCAATCATTAGCACACTCTCATTTTCTTGTTACCCACAGTTCCTTGGTGTGCACGTTGCTTTCACTCCTGGAGCATCCCCTGTTATACTCATTGTATCCATTCATTTGCCTTGACTATTCATAATATTCTAGTAGGGCCTGACGTGTGCTGCAATGCCAGTGTTCTTTTTTATTAAAACATTATTACCTTTGTTTGAAACGCTTCACATCCGTCCCACTAAAATACCTGTGGGGCTTTCTCACAGTGTCTCTTAGTTTCTCTGAATTGGTTAGTGCCCAGGACTGTGGGAGCCAGACCCATCAACTCCCTATCATCCCACTTTGAGATTTCCTACATTCCATGTGGTGATGACCGTTGTCCCTAACAAGAGTTCCAAACTTGGAGATTCACACTGTGGCCTCAGTTTAAAGAA